AGAAAAAAAAAAAGAAAAAAAAAAAAAAACGGTAACTAGGTAGTTTTCAATGGACAGTGAGATAATTCACTGTGGTCGACTTCCTTGGTCCATTCCTGGGTAACTCACACTGTTACTTATATGTTATGTATGTATGCATGCATAGTGTTGTCAGTGTGATAGATGAACCAGTACCTAAACAATCTCACTACACACTCGTTACTATGTATGACAAGTGTTACCAAGTACACTAGTGTACACTTATCACTTAGAAAATCACTTTTGTTGATGTAATATATAGGTGGAGAGTGGTACACGCTGGTCGTAAATAAACACACTCAACTTTCTCAAAGGTCACACTCTAGGCCCAGCTTCTGAGAGGTACCAGCGGTTTAAATGTGTTTTTTATGTGTCAGTGCGTGTTGTAGTCTTAACTTGGTGTATCAGAAGTTAAAACATACAATCAGTTGATCAAATAGTTAAAAACAATTTACAACAATGATATCTAGAAGTATAATGATTTGCAAATTGTTACTATTACAGTTTAAATAGGCGCTAAACCCACTAGATGAGATGGCCAAGGAACATAGATGTTAACAGCTGACTCTTGCTTAACACAGGTCTGAAAGCGTAACCGAATTTACTCAAGAGAGGGAAAGTATTCATGATAACTGAACATTATGCAGCAGTAAGCTTGTTACAGTTTTAATAATACAAAGCATAAGACACACTCACCCACAGATGAACACTGCAATTTTTGAAATAATTACTGGGAATTTATCAGTAAAGTTTCAGTCTGAACGAGAAAATGTATTAGAAAACACAACAATGACACTAGGACAAGCAACTTAATTATGTAACTGTATTTAATAGTTCAGTTACACTAAGCAGAGCATGTATTACACTGATTTATCAAATGTAAGGAGTCACTACACTGAAGTACACTCTGAGCCTTTTAAAGTCTTAATACAGGCTTACAAATGACAATTAACTGTTGGGGAAAGCAGCACTTAACACTTCTAGCACAAGTATGACAGATGAATGTTCACTGTGTACAAGCAAATCACCACAAGCTTACTATGTTTATAAGTGAACCTCTGGCATGTCCCGCTCAAAATGTCAGCACTGCAATGTTCGTTAAATTGTTCTTAACTAAGCCACTACAGGAAACACTGGTATGCCAGCAGCACTGTAGAATGTATACGTAGACATGCTTGGGGGACAAGAGAGCAGTAACTGCAGGCTACCTTAGCTTGTTCTGGCTAGCTTTGAGTGCTGCTTTCAAGCCTGCTTGAATGTGCTTGCCAAGCCCGTGTCAACCACTTGGATATTTGCTTGTAGCAGGCAGGTAGGCACACAGGAGAAACATTCATAACTCATGCAGGATGGGAGATTCGTCCATATTTCTCAGGTAGGCAGAGGTGACTAGCTGTGCGGAACTCAGATATTCGAGTACCAGCGGAGCAGCAAAATACGTCTCTACACTGCATGTTGATAGAGGCGAACGGCTGAGTTTAAAGGCGGAGAGTTGGGGGATACAGGAGAATAGCAGGGGTAACTGAGCACGCACATTTGCCTCTCTTCACATAGTCTATATGAGCGAAAGTCTCAGGCAGGTGATGCAGTGCCTCGCTCAAGGTCACTGACTGAGGCAGACTTCTCAAGAGTTACCAAACACTGCAATACTCGTGCAAATAGTTACTCACTCCAAACCTGCAGAACTTCTAGCACACTTGTCTTGGAATGAAAGAAGAATTTTCAGTGTGTGTGCACACCTGGGTTGCCAACTCACGTAGGACTGCACACTCGTCGTTATTCCTCAGGTTGGTAAAGATGAGCTGTGCACATTTTCAGAGGCACGAGTAGCAGTGGACTAGCAAAATTCACCTCTACACTGTATGTTGATAGAGACGAAAGGCTGAGGTAAAATAAAAGGAAGAGGGAAAGCAGAGGCCTGTGAGGGCCTCTTCAAAACGGAAAACTAATTCCAGTGTTTCACTAGGTATATCCCTAGTCACAACTCACACACAAGAGTTCTCACAACACTGAAGGTACGGCCGGAACACTGTAGAACGTTCACAAAGGCATTCTGGGATTCAGAACAGATGTAACTGCAGTGTAACTTGGCCTTCACTGGATGGCTTGGAGTGCTGTTTTGCCTGGATCAGCTAAACTCGCCCTTATCCCATATGTAGATAATGGCGACGAGCTAAGGGATACCGGTGAATAGGAAAGTCGAGGAAGGGACATTCACCTCACTAGACACACGCAGTATGGGCGTAAGTGGCATGCCGGTCTTATAGTGCCATTTTCAAGGTCACCCAGCAGGCCATACATTCCTCATTCATTTTAAGCCTACATAGGTACTGATGGTAGCACAATGTCCTAAGTCAGTGAAATCCACTTGTGCAAATAGTTACAACAAATCTGCAGCACTTAACACTTCTAGCACAAACTTACTATGTTTATAGGTGAACCTCTGGCATGCCCCACTTAAAAAGTTAATACTGCAATGCTCGTTAAATTGTTCTTAACTAAGCCACTACAGGAAACACTAGTATGCCAGCAGCACTGTAGAACGTATACGTAGACATGCTGGGGGTCAGGACAGCTGTAACTGCAAGCTGCCTTAGCTTGTCCTGGCTAGCTTGGAGTGCTGCTCTCAAGCCTGCTTGAATGTGCTTGCTAAGCCCGTGTCAACCACTTGGATATTTGATTGTAGCAGGCAGGTAGGCACACAGGAGACATATTCGTAAGATGAGTGGAGTGCGGCACAGAGAACTGACATGGGCACTCAAGCATTTATGTGGTCTGGCAAAAACCGCCTCTAGACCATAAGTAAATAGAGGTGAATGGCTGAGTTCCAAATCGAGGAAGGAGGGGAGGTAGGCGAGGGGAAGTGAAGGTAAGGTAGGCCTCCTACAGCCACTTCAAATCAACGTTTGTGTTTCACTAGGTATATCACTGGTCACAGTTCACACATAAGAGTTCCAGCAGCAATTCAGCTATGCTCCAACGATATTTGTTGCATGATGAGTTATCAGTCGGGTGAGATAAGCAGTTCTGATATAGAAGGCCTAGGACCTCACTCAACACACGCGTCCTCTCCCCTCAACCACTCAGGCCTTACTGTTCTTTGGAGGCACTTGCAGGTATGTGATATTAAATGGACACATCTTCCATGGAGGGGTGAAATGCTCTTGTTGTCTACAGTGATACAGTTCATGTAGGCTATGAAAGAGTAACGTCACTGATGCTAAAACGTGTAGTTTTAAAAATAGGTTAGATAAATTGTACATGAATGGTATACAGTACCGACAAAATAAAAATAAGACACATGTGCAACATCTGGGTAATTTTATTACAGACGTATCGCCATCCAGTGGCTTTATCATTACAAATTCAAGGACATAACTATCATAATGTGTCTAATTTCCATCAGGTTAGACAAATACATGAAAGGGTGTGGGTGGGTGTGAGTTGGACCTGACTGGCTTGGGCCAGTAGGTGAATTGAACCTGCCTGGCACGGGTCAGTGTGCCTGCTGCAGTGCTTCTTCTTTCTTATGTTCTTAAAGGAAGTGAATATGAGAGGCGTTTGACAATGATGGCCTATTTAAGGTAAAAAAAAAATATTTTTTGGATCAGATGACTTGGTGTAGTGTTGGGAAGAGGGGAGAATGTTTGAAGAAAATGGAAATATATTCTGAATGAAGGGCAGAAGAGGGGCAAAGGTGTTGACAGTAATGGAGATAGAGGGGTGGCTGAACACGCACCATACAGTCGGGACACTTCACTTTCACACCCTCAGGGTTCACCAGTTTTTCGTGGAATTTATTTGCGTTTTTCGGGTAGAGAAAACACCAGAGAAGGTCTAGGAGTATCGTTATCAGCATCTTTGAGAGAATCTGCATCGCGTCCCTTCCACCCCAGGTAGATCTGTTTGTGACTTGAAAAAGCCCACTGTGTGGGCGAAACGTAGTCAATAAAGGATCACATTATACTGCATGTGTGTTTATATTTCCATTGTGTCGGTATTTTATGCCATTTATTTCCAATAAATGTTAATTGACATTAGGATAACGAAAATAGTTTGGATGTAGAAGATGTGGATTCAGATCAAAGTTTTGTGATGATAAAGTGAGACAAAAATGAATTCCTTTATTTTTATATTTAATTATTGTCAATTATTAATAATTTACTTTGAAAATAGTTGATAGTACATAGATCATTTTTATTTGTAAAATTTGGTCCCATAATGTTGGTTCCTTGATCCAAGGAGTTGGAGTTATCTTCCCATTGTATTAAATGTTGGTAGAATTACCGACAATGTCAGGTAAAGAGGACACAAGTGCAACTAATGTGACGTTTTACTGTGGCAACGTTTTGCACTTGTCCTTTGACCTGACAGGTCTGGATTGTGTCTATTATTCCCAAGGAATTGTATAACCTTTATTGAATTATTCCTTCACCATAAATAATCACATTCCCCAGGACAGTGACCCATAATAGTTTAGTGCTCTACTATATAAAAGATTAAATGTTTTTGTATGCCATGTATATGACAGTAGTGTAGCCCTTTTGGGTTTAGTTATTATAATGTCAGTGGTGTAGGAGCCTGGTGGGTTTAGTGCTTAGGTTCCAGTCAAGTATAATGTAATATAAAACCAGCCTCCCTATCATCCCTTCCTATTCTTACTCCCTCTGTTATGAAGGTGCAAAATAATAATATCATCCACCCCTCGAGGGAGGTTCCTTGATGCTGGTGAGGGGCTTTTGATCTAGGGAACTGGATCAGTGCCTGAATGCCTTCTATCTCCCACAGGTGCTGTATAATCCCTACAGGTTTAGTGCTCCCATATAAGTTATCAGCTAGGCCTGTATACCTTTTACATGTACAAATAGATATTATTATTTGAATTTTTGGCCTTATCAGCATTGCCCAAAGAGTTTTGGACATTCTAGACTGATGCAACAGTTGTGCAATGTTATTTTTAAGTAACTGCATAAGGATAGAGTGAATTACTGAAGCTACATTATATATTAAAAACCTCTATAATAGATACTTTGATTGACAAACAATCATAGGAAAGCACATAAAGAATATTTGTAATAAAACAAATGTCAAGTAAAGCATCCAAGCAAAATATAACATTATAATCATGACTAAGTGAACAATATTAGGAAACATTACAATACAAGTTGAGTTGTATAACCTTAGTGGGTTTACTGGTTCTTTTTCTTAATAAACACAAGTGAGCTCTGTACAGAGGTGATTCAATCACGTTAATTCATTTTAAGAGGCTGAAGCATTACATTCATAGGGCAGTCATACAGTACTAATCCAACAGGCTTAATAATGATAGAAAGTCGCTAGTACATCCCACCTTTGACACAAATTACTATTGTGAATTTTGGTCAGCTTCGATTATACTTCCTTTGTGACTATACTCTTCACACTCAAAGGTCTATGCTCGAGCATATTACAACGCCTAGGTATGCTTGACCACATAGTAGCTTTAAGGGGCATGTAACTTTCCCCGTCTTCTAAGAACATATTTATTTTTCCACTATGATCTACCTTGTTCATAATTACTATCACATTTGCTTTTTGTGTAAGGTGAAATCTAGGATCTTTTCTTAATTCATGGTATAACTTAATAAATGTTTGATAACAATTGTGTTGGAGGTGTCTGAGCTTTGCTCACACACCTCCAACACAATTAAGATCTTAGACTTCATCTTACAAGACAAAGTAAATGTGATAGTAATTATGAACATGTTATTAGCAGACGGGGAAACTTACATGCCTCTTAATTGTTAAGTGGAGGACGTGGTTATCAGACTTTTGGGATCCCAAGAGTAGCATAAACCTTTTTTTTTTTATAGTAATGATGGGAAGAGTGTTGGTCAGTTAGTGTAGTGGCTGGGGATGTGAGCAGTAAGTCCAGCTCCTTAGATCGAGTCTCATACCAGAAGCTGTAATATTGTTACATACTTTGGAGTGTGAAATTATAATAAAAAAAAAAGTGCTAAACCTACAAGGGTCATACAGTGCATGAGAAGTAAAAGGAATCCGAGTTTCTAGAAAGTATGACGGCATCAATTAAAGACAATGGAATTTGTAAAATAACAAATTGAATTCTTAGAATTAAAAGTCACAAGTCATCTACACTTTGGAGAAGATGTTTTTGACTATTGTGGACAATTATCAAGCTGCAAATTTTAATATTTTTTAATACATACACCAGGCACCTCCTGAGAAAAAACAAAGAATTATGTCATAAGAGCCCAAATAATCCAAGATCTACTGTAATAAAATTAAATAAATTAATAACATACAATAAATCTTAAAATTACTCGATAAAACCAAATATTTCTATTGCAATTTCCCAGTTTTTGTTTTAATGTATAAACCTGTATACATTCATATGTATAAGAAAGATCAAGTTACCATACCGATCACAAAAATGTTTTAAAAACACCTGATAAAAAACACTACAACAAACCTAAAAACTAAACCAAAATAAAATGATAATCTTTGAACGCTTCAGCTTCTAGGAATTACTTTTTTAGTTTAAACCCTCGATATAATGAACTTTTATTATTATTATGTAGTATATTGTGTATATATTTAGTATATTGTGCATATATGTAGTATACTGTGTATATGTGTATATATTAAGTATATTGCACATATGTAGTACATAGTGTATTTTTTTTCAACAAACCGGCCATATCCCACAATGGCATGGTGGCCTAAAAAGAAAAAGTAGTGTATATATGTAGTATATTGTGTGTATAGAGGCGACTAAAATGCCGGGAGCAAGGGGGCTAGTAACCTCTTCTCCTGTATATACAGTGGACCCCCGCATAACGATCACCTCCGAATGCGACCGATTATGTAAGTGTATTTATGTAAGTGCGTTTGTACGTGTATGTTTGGGGGTCTGAAATGGACTAATCTACTTCACAATATTCCTTATGGGAACAAATTCGGTCACTACTGGCACCTGAACATACTTCTGGAGTGAAAAAATATCGTTAACCGGGGGTCCACTGTATTACTAACTGTTAAAGGAGAAACTTTCGTTTTTCCTTTTCGGCCACCCCGCCTCGGTGGGATACGGCCGGTGTGTTGAAAGAAAGAAAGAAAGATGTAGTATGGTGTATATATGAGAAGTATATGATAGAATACACAAGTGGCTTTTCCGACAGTGTTATCACTGTTTTTAAACCTGGCTAAAACACCTCTGTAAAGTGGACATGGGATGAAATGGGCAAAAAAAAGTCTGGCTCGACAAAAGCTCGATATGTCCACTAAGTGGGTTGTCTGGTAAAATTAGAGAAGCAGTAGATCAAGTCCACTAAATCACACGACTGTCTGATCTGGTCACACCAGTGACAAATTCCGATCAATTGTAAGTTTCTTTAGTTCATAATAATAATAATTTTTATTTCTACAGGAACATGATACAACTTATACAGACCATAGCTGACATCAATGACAATATATAGAAATTCCCTGGTTATACAAAGCATTTCCTGCAACTTAAGTTTTGGTCCCAGGATGCCACCCATACCAATCAACTAACACCCAAGTACATACCTACTTACTGCTAGGTGAACAGTGACAGCAGGTGTAAGGTGACTAACACCCAGGTACCTACTTACTGCTAGGTGAACATGGACAGCAGTTGTCTTAAAGCAACATGCCCCAGTGTTTCTACCCGTACCAAGGATCGAACCAAGGACCTCAGTGTGAGCCAAGTGCACTACCAATCCAGCCATGGGACACGTGTGCAACATTTGCCTATCTTTATTTGTAGACATTCTGCCATCCAGTGGCTTTATCAGTACAAGAACATAATGTGAAGAAGGTAGAACATATACAAAAAATGAGGGACTGATTACCTCATCTTTACTAGTGGAAGGCCTCGGTCAGTTGACCAAATGCTCCACTTACTATATATAAATTTAAGACTATTCCTAAAAATCCTCTCCTCTCTCAATACTAACCAAAACAACTTGTAATCAGTTTGAAGCAACTCTCCCAAATATATTTACGACCTCTAGTTTATTAAACATCTGCCAGTTCATGAAATATTACTGTTTGAACCATTAATTGTAATATTGTTTTTATTATGTGCAACTTCAAGATTATTCTTATAAACCTCCACCTTGACTACCTCACATTAGTATTAAGATTAAATGCATATTTATTAAGAAGTTAACCATTCTTATCTTGTCTAGATTTAAGTAGTTATTATGTACTGGAATAAGTCTGGGTGAAATGCCCCGGCATGATAGTGACTTCCTTTGTACTTAACAAACCAAATTACACATTGTAACCTCTACAAAGAAATAAAATCTTTATTCTTTAACGGTGAGTCATCATCTGATTAAGACCCGCATCAGGAAACACTTGTCCTGTTTCCTGACGAACCTAACCTAACCACACCTTTTGTATTATAGTTCTACAGTTTTCAGTGCATTGGCCATCACCCACTGAGGCACAGGGATCTAAAAAGGAAGAATGAAAGTTTCAGTATACAGTAGATGGGATTACTAGCCCCCTTTCTCTCTGTGTCATATGTGGGACTTGTACATGAGAGGGATTGAATATAAATAGGACTTTTACATGAGAAGGATTGAATATAAATGGGACTTGTACATGAGAGGGATTGAATATTTGTGGGACTTGTACATGAGAGGGATTAGATTTAAGTCAGGTGTCAGGGACTGGATTTAAATTAGGTGCCCGGTGTCCGTAGCTTGATCGCTAGTGCACTCAGATCACACACTGAGGTCTGGGGTTCAAATCTCCTCTGGTACAGCTGGAAAACATTTGGGACATGTTTTCATAAGACACCTGCTGTCCCTGTCCCTGTTCATCCATCAGCGTAAAATGGGTACCTAGTGTTAGTCGACTGGTGTGGGTCGCACCCTAGGACAAAACTGACCTAATTTGTGGGAAATGCTCAGCCTAACAAGTGGCTTTCTATATAGTAGTATGTCACTGATGTCAGTTATGGTCTGTATACCTTGTACATGTACTTGTAGTAAATAAAGATTTTATTATTATTATTATTATTATTACTATTATTATTATAAGTGTGACTTGCACACTCCACCAATCACAACTCTACTACCATCACACTACATACATCCACTGTACTCTAAACTCTGATTATCAGGTAATTTACTGTACCAAATATTCTTAGTAAAATTGGTAGTACCATCAATGCAGCAGACTACATCCGCTGCACTGGACATACGTCCATGTCTAGAAGTCCATTGACAAAGCAGACTTTACTTTATCAAAATGTTCATTATAACAGATTTCCACAAAAGCAGATCCCCTTTTCTCCCTATTTTACGGAGGTGCCTCTCTTCACTTAGCGACGTACTCGTTTACCGACACCTCGGACTTACGATGGGCTCTCCGACCAGTATTTATACCTAAATAATGTATATTAGAGCTGATTTCCTCAATTCTGTTTATTACAATGTACAGTACACTGCTGTATAAACATTTAAAAATATACCAGAAATCTTATATAATGATGTAAAGGTGACATTAAAATACATAATATCAAAGATGGTTGACACAAATCCACCACCATTATAGTACGGGTGTCTTAGGTTCCTATCTCCATCGTTAAGTGAGGAGAGGCTGTATTTCTAATTTAATGGACACTATTTGTTCGTTATATCAAAGGTTATATAATAGTGTTTTTCACACATTTGTACACACAGAAAACTTAAGTGCCAACACTAAGTACAAAAACCAGGAAGTATTATGTTGCTCCTCACATACGGTCAATTTGAAAGTTACAAAAAAGTATTTTTTTTTTAAGTACTATTTTTTATTCTTGTGTCTACTTAAATTACTTAAGTTCCAATAATACTTTCAATAATTTACTTATGAAATTTAATACCTTACTAAAGGGATTCAATACTTTACTAAAGGGATCCAATACAGCGGACCCCTGCTTTACGATCACCTCCCAATGCGACCAATTATGTAAGTGTATTTACATAAGTGCGTTTGTACATGTATGTTTGGGGGTTTGAAATGGACTAATCTAATTCACAATATTCCTTATGGGAACAAATTCGTTCAGTACTGGCACCTGAACATACTTCTGGAATGAAATAATATCGTAAACTGGGGGTCCACTGTACTTTACTAAAGGTTTCCAATACTTTACTAAAGGCTTCCAATACTTTACTAAAGGGATCCAATACTTCACTAAAAGACTCCAATACTTTAATAAAGTGTTGGACCCCCTTAGTAAAGGGATCCAATGCTTTACTAAAGGACTCCAATACTTTACTAAAGAGTTCCAATACTTTACTAAAGGGATCCAATACTACAGTTAAGTCTACACTAAGTACACAGAAAAACTTAAGCTCCAACAATAAGTACAAAAGCAGGGGAATACTATGCTGGTCCTCACATACGGTCGATTAAGAAAAAGTTACTAAAAAGTACTTTTTATAAAGTAGTATTTTTTATTCTTGTGTCCACTTAAATTACTTGAGTTCCAATAATACTGTCAATATTATGCTTTGAGATTCAATACTTTACTAAAGGGATCCAATACTTCACTAAAAGGATCCAGTACAGTGGACTCCCGGTTCGCGATGCTATCAGTATCCGATAAATCTGGTAACCGATGCATTATATTGCAAAAAATTTGCCTCGGTTCCCATTACAAAACCCGGTATGCAATGCGATTCGCACGAGACGTGTTCACGTGTGGCCTGAACTGCCCCGTGTGTGCCAGTGTTTACAAGCCAGCCAGTGTGCGCGCATCCAAGGATACATTCGGTACATTCCATATTATCCATATTATCACTGTTTTTTGTGCTTGTTTCTGCAAAATAAGTCACCATGGGCCCCAAGAAAGCTTCTAGTGCCAACCCTTCGAAACCAAGGGTGCTAATGACTATTGAAATGAAGAAAGAGATAATTGCAAAGTACAAAAGTAGAGTGCGTGTGTCGGAGCTGGTCAGGTTGTATAGTAAACCCCAATCAACCATCTCTACTACAGTGAGCAGGAAAACGTCAATCAAGGAAGCTGTTCTTGCAAAAGGTGCAACTGTGATTACGAAACAGCGACCGCAAGTGTTAGAAAATGTTGAGAGACTGTTATTGGTGTGGATAAATGAAAAACAGATAGCAGGAGATAGCATCTCTCAAGCGATCATTTGTGAAAAGGCTAGGCACTTGCATGACGATTTGGTAAAGAAATTGCCTGCAGCTAGTGGTGATGTGAGTGAATTTAAGGCCAGCAAAGATTGGTTTGAAAGATTTAAGAATCGTAGTGGCATACATAGTGTGATTAGGCATGGTGAGGCTGCCAGTTCAGACCACAAAGCAGCTGAAAAATATGTGCATGAATTCAAGGAGTACATAGAGGCTGAAGGATTGAAACCTGAACAAGTGTTTAATTGTGACGAAACAGGCCTGTTTTGGAAGAAATTGCCAAGCAGGACCTACATTACTCAGGAGGAAAAGGCACTCCCAGGACATAAGCCTTTGAAAGACAGGCTTACTCTTCTGATGTGTGCCAATGCTAGTGGTGATTGCAAAGTGAAGCCTTTATTGGTGTATCACTCAGAAACTCCCAGAGCGTTCAGGCAAAAGAATATCCTCAAGGCTAATTTGTGTGTGCTGTGGAGGGCAAACAGTAAGGCATGGGTCACTAGGGACTTTTTCTATGACTGGTTACACCATGCATTTGCCCCCAATGTGAAAAATTACCTAATTGAAAAGAAATTAGACCATAAGTGCCTCCTGGTATTAGACAATGCTCCTGGTCATCCTATAGACTTGGCAGAGCGACTTTCTGGGGACATGAGCTTCATTAAGGTCAAGTTTTTGCCTCCTAATACCACTCCTCTCCTGCAGCCCATGGACCAGCAGGTCATTTCCAACTTCAAGAAACTGTACACAAAAGCTATGTTTGAAAGGTGCTTTGAAGTGACCACAGATACTCTATTGGCTAAAGGAGTTTTGGAAGGATCACTTTAATATCCTCAATTGTGTAACCCTTATAGGTAAGGCTTGGGAGGGAGTGACTAAGAGGACCTTGAACTCTGGTTGGAAAAAACTGTGGCCAGAATGTGTAGACAAAAGGGATTTCGAAGGGTTTGAGGCTAACCCTGAGAAGCCTATGCCAGTTGAGGAATCCATTGTGGCACTGGGGAAGTCCTTGGGGTTGGAGGTTAGTGGGGAGGATGTGGAAGAGTTTATGGAGGAGGACAATGACGAACTAACCACTGATGAGCTGCTAGATCATCTTCAACAGCAAGAAGCCAGACCTGAGGAAGCTGCTCCGGAGGAGGGGAGAGAGAAATTGAAGAAGTTGTCTACTTCAAAGATTAAGGAAATGTGTGCAATGTAGCGTAAAGTACAAAGCTTTCTTGATGAAAATCACCCTCAGACAGCTACTGCAAGCCGTGTTGGCAACCTGTACAATGACACTGTTGTGAACCACTTTAGGAAAGTCATAAAGGAACGAGAGGTACAGGCCTCTATGGACAGATAAGTTGTGCGACACAAGTCCAGTGACTCTCAACCTGGTCCTAGTGGCATTAAAAGAAGAAGGGAAGTAACCCCAGAAAAGGACTTGCTACCTCAAGTCCTAATGGAGGGGGATTCCCCTTCTAAACACTAACACCATCCACACTCTCCCCTCCTCCCATCCCATCAATCACCACCAGATCTTCATTAAAGGTAAGTGTCAATTATTCTATTGTTATTGTAATTATTCTATTGCATTAAACTTAATATTTCATGTGGTAAAGGTTTTTTTTTCATATTTTTGGGGGTCTTGCACGGATTAATTTGATTTCCATTATTTCTTATGGGGAAAATTGATTCGCTTTCTGATAATTTTGGTTTACGATGAGCTCTCAGGAACGGATTAATATCGCAACCGGGGGTCCACTGTACTTCACTAAAGGGATACAATACTTTACTAAAGGGTTCTAATAGTTTACTAATGGGATCCAGTACTTTACTAAAGGGTTCCAATACTACAGTTAAGTCTACTCTAAAGGGTTCCAATACTACAGTTAAGTCTACTCTCGTTACAAGTGGAAAGAAGCGGAATGTTACGCCGGCTGGTCGCAGACGGACGGTTTAGCAGCAGAAGTGGTGACTTGCAGTAGCGGATTGATCATGTCAAATTCTTCACCGCTGCAAGTCTCTGCAGTGTTGCTGTGCACCATTGCACACTCTACACTGTTGCTGTGCACCATTGCACACACTACACTGTTGCTGTGCACCATTGCACAGTTGTTGCTGAGTGTTGTGACTGCATCCATCTCTGCAACACAAATATCGCCTATCATCTCACATCATACATTAAGTTCTTGACTTACAAACATGCTGAGAATCATCAGTATTGTGTATATCATTACTCTAACAATATTATACACAGGTCCACAATGTGTTTGCAAGTTGAGGTTTTCCTGTATTATGAATGTTACACACAATTCAGGAAGTCTTACTGTAACAACATAACGATTGCTAATGAAGAAAAGAATGAATGGAGAGTTGAACTATAGTTCTGGAGGAGGCCCAACACTGTAACCACTCAACTGCAGAGGTTACAAAAGGATGCAATAGGTACAACACATGTCCATCAGTTAGGTATATTTATTCTGAAACATTTCTCCTACACCGTAAACTTCTTCAGTCAAGTACAGAAGCAGTAGAGATGTAGAGATGATGTAATCAGTACCTTGAAGATGTAGTTTCTAGGTGGTCAGTCCCCAGCCTGGAGAAGAGTCTTGCTCCATAGTTTGGAACAGGCTGAGGGACTGACCACCTCAAAACTACGCCTTCAAGGCTGATGGACTGATGACACTGTCTTCACGTCTCTACTGCTCCTGCTGCCTCTGTACCTAACTCCTGCACTTGTGTCTTACTCATCAACCTATCAGTATTGTATATCATTATTACATTCACAATACGATATCTGATTAACCATACCACAGGCGGGAATAGAACCCGCAATCAGAGAGCCTCAAAACTCCAGACTGTCGCGTTAGCCACTGGACCAGCTAGCTACAATAAGATTCGTCCAACTAGGTATATTTCTACACCATAGGAAGGTTAGCATAGGCACCATCGTGACCACAAATGCAAGTTTTTACAGACGAATCTCCAGCTAGTGTGGCCGTGACGAACTCTAGCTCAAGTCCCCTCAAAGCCGTTAACATTACTCATGAAACCGTAATGACAGTGGCTAATGTGACGGTCTGGAGTTTTGAGACTCTCTGATCGCGGATTCTATCCCCGCCCGTGGTATGGTTTGTTTGCAATCGTGTCATTACGATTTAGTGAGTCATGTTAATGGCTTTGAGGGGACTTGAGCTAGAGTTCGTCACGGCCACGCTAGCTGGAGATTCGTCTGTAAAAACTTGTATTTGTGGTCACAGTGGTACCTATGCTAACATTCCTATGTTGTAGAAATATACCTAGTTGGACGAATCTTATTGTGGCTAGCTGGTCTCGTGGCTAATGCGACGGTCTGGAGTTTTGAGACTCTCTGACCGTGGGTTCTATCCCCGCCCGTGGTATGGCTTGTTTGCAATCGTGTCATTACGATTTCGTGAGTCACGATGTCTGATTGTAATTATGCTACTTGCAAAACCATCCTGGCAGGTTTAACAGTTACTTTTAATTATAATAATAATGTTAAACCATCCTGGTGGGTTTAACAGTTTTCGATATATAGTAATAATGTTAAACCATCCTGGAAGGCTTAATGGTTAGTTTTAATTACAATAATAATGAAAAGCCATCCTGGTAGGCTTAATGGTTAGTTTCCAATATAGTAATAATGTTAAACCATCCTGGTAGGTTTAACAGTTAGTTTTCAATATAGTAATAATGTTAAACCATCCTAGTAGGTTTAATGGTTAGTTTTCAATATAGTAATAATGTTAAACCATCTTGGTAAGTTTAACGGTTAGTTTTAATTATAATAATGTTAAACCATCCTTGTAGGTATACCTGGAGTTACCTGGAGAGAGTTCCAGGGGTCAACGCCCCCGCGGCCCGGTCTGTGACCAGGCCTCCTGGTGGATCAGAGCCTGATCAACCAGGCTGTTGCTGCTGGCTGCACGCAAACCAACGTACGAGCCACAGCCCGGCTGATCCAGAACTGACTTTAGGTGCTTGTCCAGTGCCAGCTTGAAGACTGCCAGGGGTCTGTTGGTAATCCCCCTTATGTGTGCTGGGAGGCAGTTGAACAGTCTCGGGCCCCTGACACTTATTGTATGGTCTCTTAACGTGCTAGTGACACCCCTGCTTTTCATTGGGGGGATGGTGCATCGTCTGCCAAGTCTTTTGCTTTCGTAGTGAGTGATTTTCGTGTGCAAGTTCGGTACTAGTCCCTCTAGGATTTTCCAGGTGTATATAATCATGTATCTCTCCTCTTGCGTTCCAGGGAATACAGGTTTAGGAACCTCAAGCGCTCCCAATAATTGAGGTGTTTTATCTCCGTTATGCGCGCCGTGAAAGTTCTCTGTACATTTTCTAGGTCGGCAATTTCACCTGCCTTGAAAGGTGCTGTTAGTGTGCAGCAATATTCCAGCCTAGATAGAACAAGTGACCTGAAGAGTGTCATCATGGGCTTGGCCTCCCTAGTTTTGAAGGTTCTCATTATCCATCCTGTCATTTTTCTAGCAGATGCGATTGATACAATGTTATGGTCCTTGAAGGTGAGATCCTCCGACATGATCACTTCCAGGTCTTTGACGTTGGTGTTTCGCTCTATTTTGTGGCCAGAATTTGTTTTGTACTCTGATGAAGATTTAATTTCCTCATGTTTACCATATCTGAGTAATTGAAATTTCTCATCGTTGAACTTCATATTGTTTTCTGCAGCCCACTGAAAGATTTGGTTGATGTCCGCCTGGAGCCTTGCAGTGTCTGCAATGGAAGACACTGTCATGCAGATTCGGGTGTCATCTGCAAAGGAAGACACGGTGCTGTGGCTGACATCCTTGTCTATGTCGGATATGAGGATGAGGAACAAGATGGGAGCGAGTACTGTGCCTTGTGGAACAGAGCTTTTCATCGTAGCTGCCTCGGACTTTACTCTGTTGACGACTACTCTCTGTGTTCTGTTAGTGAGGAAATTATAGATCCATCGACCGACTTTTCCTGTTATTCCTTCAGCACGCATTTTGTGCGCTATTACGCCATGGTCACACTTGTCGAAGGCTTTTGCAAAGTCTGTATATATTACATCTGCATTCTTTTTGTCTTCTAGTGCATTTAGGACCTTGTCGTAGTGACAAGTTTTAAAACCATCCTGATAGTTTTAATAATAATAATATAAAACCATCCTATTGTAAGCTCTCTGGTTGATCTTACAGCACTAGGCTTGCTATATAGACCAAGTTTCAATCCGTTCTTCCGTTTATTCAACTCGGGCATGTCTGCCAGGGTTGACTTGTGTACATAACATCCTCAGAAGCTAGTGCTCTCAATCCAGGGCATTAGAGCAATTCTCCCTTGTTGCCACATTTACCTTACTGGTTTAACACTCCCTTGAAAAAATTAGTAAAAATCTTAAAGTTATAATTCGATGCCCTAGGTGCAAATAGTACGACATATACTATTACCATATTTCAAGTTACCTATTTCCTATTACCTATTTCAAGTTGCTTCCTCTATTGCTCAATCTACCCTATAGAAGGCCAGCAGAAGAGCCATTTTGCTTTGCAACTCTGCACCTTGCATGAGAGCTCAGGTCAGTCAAAGCATAAGCTTAAGCTCACATTATTCACTGGCATGCAACACAAAGCTATTGCAACAAGCTTTAATTGCAACAATATCTCACTGTGTGAAGAGCTTTAAGTGATGGTAAAACTGCGAGGCTTTATCATGTTGTATTTCACTGTGTAGAGCTTTATATAGTCATATTTCACTGTGTAGAGCTTTATATAGTCATGTTTCACTATGTAGAGCTTTATATAGTCATATTTCACTGTGTAGAGCTTTATATAGTCATCACTGTGTAGAGCTTTATATAGTCATATTTCACTGTGTAGAGCTTTATATAGTCATATTTCACTGTGTAGAGCTTTATATAGTCATATTTCACTGTGTAGAGCTTTATAGTCATGTTTCACTATGTAGAGCTTTATATAGTCATATTTCACTGTGTAGAGCTTTATAGTCATGTTTCACTATGTAGAGCTTTATATAGTCATATTTCACTGTGTAGAGCTTTATAGTCATGTTTCACTATGTAGAGCTTTATATAGTCATGTTTCACTATGTAGAGCTTTACAGTCACGTTTCACTGTGTAGAACTTTATGTAGTCATGCTTCATTGTATAGAGCTTTATATAATCATGTTTCAATGTGTAAAACTTTATTAAGTTATGTTTTGTTCTGTAGAGCTTTATAAAGTCATGTTTCACTTTGTGTAGAGCTTTATATAGTCATGTTTCACTGCTTAAAACTTCATTAAGTTTCACTTTGTGGAGCTTTAGAAAGTCAAGTTTCACTCTATAGAGCTTCATAAAAGATATGTTTCACTAAAAAGAGCTTAAGAAAGCCATGTTTTATCCTGTAAAGCTTTAGAAAGTTGTTTTACTCTGTGTAGTTTCATAAAGTCACTATCACTCTGTGTAGAGCTTTATCAAGTTATGTTTCGCTCTGTAGAGCTTCATCACATCACGTTTCACTCTGTAGAACTTTAACAATTCATGTTTCACTGAATCAAGCTCAATCAATTGATGGTAATAGTATACTGATGCAACAGAAGCTTGTTTTGCAACCTGCATCGCTGTCGTCAACCAGCACAAGAAGCGTCAAAGGCCTGAGAATCAAAAACTGTCAAGACCAGGGCTGGATTAAGGGACCAGGAGCTGTAGCCCAGGGCCCTCTGCCAGTGGAGGGCCCCCAGAGATGTCAACAACTTACAATTTGCCGATGTTATGGAGAAATTAGTCTCCAAGAAATTACGCAAAGCAATTTCTTGGAAATTACTTTGCGTAATTATTTCCATTTGAAAATATCACTAGGGGCCCCTCACAGTACCTGTAGTCCAGGTGTCTCACAGTACCTGTAGTCCAGGTGTCTCACAGTACCTGTAGTCCAGGTGCCTCACAGTACCTGTAGCCCAGATGCCTCACAGTACCTGTAGCCCAGGGGCCTCACAGTACCTGTAGCCCAGGGGCCTCACAGTACCTGTAGCCCAGGGGATTCACAGTACCTGTAGCTCAGGGGCCTACAGAATCTTAATCCAACTCTGGTCAAGATTAGCGTATGTTTACGTACCTGGCACTGACGGCAGCACTCTGGTCGCAAGTTGCCGTCACCTCATTCCTTACTAAGAACAAGAAGGAAGGAAAAATCAAAGAAAAAAGCTCAAAGAAACATGAAAAATAAATTATGGGTTACAATGCTCAATATGCAAATAACCCTCACAGAGGATATAAACTTATGACAATGTTTTGGTCCGATTTAGACTATTAATTAGTCATAGAAGCATGAAGGGAAGGAAGCAAGTATAAGAGGGCCTCGTTTTACAGCGCTTCGCTCTATGGCATTTTGCTAATGCAGCGGTTTTCAATTATAGCACTTAATCATTTATTAAGACTTCCTTCAATAAATACATTCACCGCTCACCATAAGTTAAGGATGAAAATATTTTAAGGTACGTAATGTGTGTAATGTATATGCATTTTTTAGGCCTAGTTATATTGTTCACTAAATATATGATAGGGTAAACATGTTATCAGGATTTTATGTGTATGCATTTGAAACTGAAAAAAAAAGGGGGGGGGAGGGCTATGTTTCACTTTACAGCAGTAGTCTGGAACCTAACCTGATGTATAAGCGGGACCCTCCTATAAAGCAGTAGTCCTGAAACCTGACTTGCTGTATAAGCAAGGCCCTCCTGTACAGCAGTAGTCCTGGAACCTAACCTGCTGTATAAGCAAGGCCCTCCTGCACAGCAGTAGTCCTGAAACCTAACCTGCTGTATAAGCAAGGCCCTCCTGCACAGCAGTAGTCCTGAAACCTAACCTGCTGTATAAGCAAGGCCCTCCTGTACAGCAGTAGTCCTGAAACCTAACCTGCTGTATAAGCAAGGCCCTCCTGTACAGCAGTAGTCCTGGAACCTAACCTGCTGTATAAGCAAGGCCCTCCTGCACAGCAGTAGTCCTGAAACCTAACCTGCTGTATAAGCAAGGCCCTCCTGCACAGCAGTAGTCCTGAAACCTAACCTGCTGTATAAGCAAGGCCCTCCTGCACAGCAGTAGTCCTGAAACCTAACCTGCTGTATAAGCAAGGCCCTCCTGTACAGCAGTAGTCCTGGAACCTAACCTGCTGTATAAGCAAGGCCCTCCTGCACAGCAGTAGCCCTGGAACCTAACCTGCTGTATAAGCAAGGCCCTCCTGCACAGCAGTAGTCCTGAAACCTAACCTGCTGTATAAGCAAGGCCCTCCTGCACAGCAGTAGTCCTGAAACCTAACCTGCTGTATAAGCAAGGCCCTCCTGTACAGCAGTAGTCCTGAAACCTAACCTGCTGTATAAGCAAGGCCCTCCTGCACAGCAGTAGTCCTGAAACCTAACCTGCTGTATAAGCAAGGCCCTCCTGCACAGCAGTAGTCCTGAAACCTAACCTGCTGTATAAGCAAGGCCCTCCTGTGCAGCAGTAGTCTTGGAACCTAACCTGCTGTATAAACAAGGCCCTCCTGTACAGCAGTAGTCCTGGAAACTAGCCTGCTGTATAAACAAGGCCCTCCTGTGCAGCAGTAGTCTTGGAACCTAACCTGCTGTATAAACAAGGCCCTCCTGTACAGCAGTAGTCCTGGAAACTAGCCTGCTGTATAAGCGAGGCCCTCTTGTACAGCAGTAGCCCAGAATCTAGGCTGCTATATATGTGAGGCCCTCCTGTACAGCAGTAGCCCAGAACCTAACCTGCTGTATAAGCAAGGCCTTCCTGTACAGCAGTAGCCCAGAACCTAACCTGCTGTATAAGCAAGGCCTTCCTGTACAGCAGTAGCCCAGAACCTAACCTACTGTATAAGCAAGGCCTTCCTGTACAGCAGTAGCCCAGAACCTAGGCTGCTATATACTCCTGTATATATATATGAGAGAGAGGCACTTCTGTGTAACTGGTTGATGGTCTAAGTCAGATCAAAATGCCATTTTAAGTTTCTTTCTCCTATTTTGTAGGTTATTTGTGTGCTGTTTTAGACATGGTATTGTGCATTTTTATTCTACATGCTCAAGCCACAGCACTCAACTTAATGTCATGCAACACTAAGAATAACAGGTGGTCCTCAACTTACAATGGGGTAAAGTTCTGACAAACCCATCGTAAGTCAAAAATATTGTGTCAAAAATATCTTAAGTAAAATGTTAATATATGGTAAACAAATAAGTAAATAAATAACTCATGTCAGTGAATAAGTCAATAAAGAAATAATTAGTGTAACTAACTAAATACCAGTATTGAAAAGTCAATAAATGAATGTAAGTTAGGGACTTGCTGCCTTCATGCTGGATAATTATCTTAAGTTTCATCTCCAAAGTTACTGCTGCTGCACCATTGTAAAGTCGAAATATCGTAAGATGAACTATTGTAAAGTCGAAATATCATAAGTCAAACCATTGTAAAGTCGAGAAGCACCTGTATTATCATCGTGGTACGTCATTAAAAGTTACTAACGGGAAACACATCTGAGAAGTGAGTGTAGCTCCTCAGGTGTTGATGTTATCTTGATGTGTGGATCAAGACATGCCAGCGACTTCTTGATGTTTGGTGAAGCATTTGCCAAGATCAATGGCTGTTGGCGTTTCTGAAAGTCTGAGCACAGACCTTCAATTCCCTGGAATAATGAACAGAAATATAATAAGATCACTGTGCACAGTGGTATAGTTAGGGATGCCAAGCCCATGATGATTCTCTTAAAATCACTTGTTCTCTCTAGCCTGGAATATTGATAAGATAAAGATTTATTTCTTTGACAAAGGTTACAAAGAGTAATTGTATTTTTTTATTTGTTAGGTAAAGAAAGCCACTACAGTGGACCCTCGGCTAAAGAATGCATTGCATAACGTTAAATCCACATAACGAAGCATTTGAGCGTAAAAATTTTGGCCCACCTAATGATAAAAAACTCACCCAACGTGATTCGTCCTGAACCTGTCCATCCAGCCTGAGCGCCTCAGTTGCCCTGCTATCATTGTTTAAAAGCCAGGGTGGCCGGTTTCATGAATACATGCGATACATTTTGTATTATTCCATTGTTTATAGTGCTTGTAACTGCTAAATAAGCCACCATGGGCCCAAAGAAAGTTTCTGGTGCCCACCCTGTAATAAAAAGGGTGAGAAATACTATCGTACCACAGTCAGCTGCTGCTGCACCACTGTCAGCTATACTACTCAAAGAGGTGGAGAGACTGTTGTTGGTGTGGCTTAACGAGAAACAATTACCGAGAAAGAATTAACCCCAGAAGGTTAGCCACCCAGGATAACCCAAGAAAGTCAGTGACTCATCGAGAACTGTCTAACTTATTTCCATTGGGGTCCTTAATCTTGTCTCCCAGGATGCGACCCACACCAGTCGACTAACACCCAGGTGAACAAGAAAAAATGCCTGGAACTAGTGCTCATATTGGTGAACTTAAGGCCAGCAAAGGTTGGTTTGAGAGATTTAAGAATTGTAGTGGCATACACAGTGTGATGAGGCATGGTGAAGCTGAAAAATTCCAACCCTAACAAGTGTTCAATTGTGACAAAACAGGCCTATTCTGGAAGAAAATGCCAAACAGGACCTACATTACTCAGGAGGAAAAGGCACTCCCAGGACACAAACCTGTGAAAGACAGGCTAACTCTCATGTTATGTTGTAATGCTAGTGGGGATTGCAAAGTGAAGCCTTTACTCATGTATCACTCTGAAAATCCCAGAGAGTTCAAGAAAAACAGTGTCTCATCACTCATCAATACTCTTCAATAAAGGTAAGTGTCATTTTAACATTTATTTATGTATTTATTCTGCATGTCTCATTGTTTTCTGTGTAGGGGAAAAAAATTATTTTTTAATACTTTTGGCTGTCTGGAATGGATTAATTGGATTTCCATTATTTCTTATGGGGAAAATTAATTCGGCTAACTATAATTTCGTCTAACGATGAGCACTCAGGAGCGGATTAATATCGTTAGCTGAGGGTCCACTGTATATGCCTCAGCACCTTTCAAGGCAGGTGAAATTCCTGATCTAGAAAATGTACAGAGAACCTTCACAGCAAACATAACTGCGATAAAACACCTAAATTACTGGGAATGGTTGAAGTTCCTCAACTTGTATTCCCTGGAATGCAGGTGATACATGATTATATGTACTTGAAAATCTTAGAGGGACTAGTACCAAATTTGCACATGAAAATGAAAGCACAAGACTCAGCAGACGATGTAACATCCCCCCAATGAAAAGCAGGGGAGCCACTAGCACAATAAGAGACAACACAATAAGTGTCAGGGGCCCAAGACTGTTCAACTGCCTACCAGCATACATGAGGGGGATTACCAATACACCCGTGGCTGTCTTCAAGAAGTCACTGAACAGGCACCAAAAGTTAGTACCTGACCAGACGGGCTGTGGTTTGTACGTAAGTCTATGTGCGGTGAGAAGTAACAGCCTGGTTGATCAGACCCTGATCCACCACAAGGCCTAGTCAGAGACTGGGTCGAGGGGGCGTTGATCCCTGAAACCCTCTCCAGGTATACTCCAGGTATATACCTGGATAACATACCCTGAACTCTTCCATTGTTGAGACTCCAAAATCAATATTGATCTCAATGTCCACTTTATTAAAAAAAACTTCTGAAATGGTAAAGAATCATTTTCTGAAGGTAATGACACCTAAAGTACAAAATTGAATGAAAAACTCATGGAATTATGTTGGCACAAAGTTAGCTGTCCAGGCGAAATTTACGCACCGGTGATTTTTGCCCAATTTGAGTCCTATTTTAAGGCAATTTCATTGTTCCATTTGATCAAATTCTTAGCTATTTTGCTAGCATGCCTTCCATTGTATCAATCATTCACAAGAAATTGCCCATTTCACTATTTCAGCTACACTGTAAAGTTATCAGAATTTGATAATTTCTCCAGTTTCACACAAAATTAAAAAAAATACCAATTTAAAAATAGAATTAATAGTAAACAATGTAGAAACTGCTGGCACTAAAACAACATTTTCCCTGTTCATCCCTGAGCAGTGGCAATCTACAGCTGAGGTTCAGTTATATACAACTCTTCTTGCAGCATGATAGATGTTTGTACAAAGGAGTGTAACAATTGGGTGTACATGCCAAAAGCCCCTTTATATGCAGAGCATTTTGGGCAAACTTAAGACTAACTTACAATTAATAAGGCAATAACAGTGCTGTAATTGTACACCTTCTCCTGAATAAATTACTAAATTTAAAAAGAGAAACTTATGTTTTTCTTTTTAGGTCACCCAGCCTTGGTGGGATATGGCCGGTGTGTTGAAAAGAATCATATTACACACAAGCTGCTATTAGTGGATAACTAGGAGTTTCAACTATCCATGGTTTACTCAAAAATAAGCCTTAATTTTGTGTAACAATGGCTATAAGGCACAATAGTAGTTGTCCAACGTCTAAGAGAAGCTGTTAAGTCCTTCCCATCAGTGAAAAAATTTTAATTCTCCACTTATTGTGCATAGTTAAACTCTGTAATAGCTATGTGAGAAAAAATTGCATACACACAGTATCTGCTACTATCTGTGGTGTCAGGCATCCATGACAGTTCTTGGAACACATCCTGCGTGGATACCAGGACACTGTTATTATTATCATTATCATATTTAGGAGGAAGCATCATACAGCACTTGGGGAATGGGAGGTAATTAGGTTCAATTCAAGGAAGGGGAAGAAAGGTGCAGTCCGTCAGATCAAGATCCCTTCACCAGCATCAAGGAACCTCCCTTATGATGATGCTACACAATCAAGACCGGAGAAACACTAGAACACACTAATTAGTAAATGTTTCATCCCTGAGCAGCAGAAGATCTACAGCTGAGGTTCAGTTATATACAGCTCTTGTGGCAAGACAATTATTGACTGAGTGATGGTCAATGTGTTTTATTCTTCCAATCACAGTACCTTGGCGAACACTTGTAGCAAGACAGTTACTGACTGAGTGATGGTGAATGTGTTTCCTCTGTTGGCTAACTCTACCTTAGTGAGAGAGAGCCGACATTAAAAAAATAGCCCTATTATAAATGAACCATTAGCGACTGAATATTTTAGGCCCATACCTTGACAGCAGTGAAATCTAGGCCGGTCAAATGACAGCAATCCAGCACAACCGTCAAACTTCCTTCTGCTGTACTGATGCCGGCCTTGTTGACTGCTGCTCGAACATAGTCCACTGACGGGAAGAACAGACCAGTACAGGGTTCCACCAAAACATAGGCTGCCTTGACACCATCCTTTGGAAAAAACAAAATTAAGAATTAAAAGACACAATACAAGAAGGCACTGTACAGGCACCTAAAGTCAGTACCTGATCAGCCGGGCTGTGGTTTGTACGTCGGGCTGTGTGTGGCCAACAGTAACATTCTGGTTCATCAGGCTCTGATCCACTGCAAGGCCTGGTCACAGACTGGGCCTTGTGGTACATCATCATCTTTCAACAAACCAGATGTATCCCACCCAGGCAGGGTGGCCCAAAAAGAAAAACGAAAGTTTCTCTTTTTAAATTTAGTAATGTATACAGGAGGTTTTACTAGCCCCTTGCTCCTGGCATGTTAGTCGCCTCTTACAACACGCATGACTTATGCAGGTAGAATTCTGTTCTACATCCCCATGGAGATACTGTGTATAATATTCATAATAAAGAAAGTCTTCAACTTATGACAAATTGGGGATATTATGTATCGTGTATAATAATGATATTACATATATGCAATACACAAAATTCTCAATGTGTTTGTAAGTCAAGTATATTTTTTATATATTATCACACCGGCCGATTCCCACCAAGGCAGGGTGGCCCGAAAAAGAAAAACTTTCACCATCATTCACTCCATCACTGTCTTGCCAGAAGGGTGCTTTACACTACAGTTTTTAAACTGCAACATTAACACCCCTCCTTCAGAGTGCAGGCACTGTACTTCCCATCTCCAGGACTCAAGTCCGGCCTGCCGGTTTCCCTGAATCCCTTCATAAATGTTACTTTGCTCACACTCCAACAGCACGTCAAGTATTAAAAACCATTTGTCTCCATTCACTCCTATCAAACACGCTCACGCATGCCTGCTGGAAGTCCAAGCCCCTCGCACAACAAAACCTCCTTTACCCCCTCCCTCCAACCCTTCCTAGGCCGACCCCTACCCCGCCTTCCTTCCACTACAGACTGATACACTCTTGAAGTCATTCTGTTTCGCTCCATTCTCTCTACATGTCCGAACCACCTCAACAACCCTTCCTCAGCCCTCTGGACAACAGTTTTGGTAATCCCGCACCTCCTCCTAACTTCCAAACTACGAATTCTCTGCATTATATTCACACCACACATTGCCCTCAGACATGACATCTCCACTGCCTCCAGCCTTCTCCTCGCTGCAACATTCATCACCCACGCTTCACACCCATATAAGAGCGTTGGTAAAACTATACTCTCATACATTCCCCTCTTTGCCTCCAAGGACAAAGTTCTTTGTCTCCACAGACTCCTAAGTGCACCACTCACTCTTTTTCCCTCATCAATTCTATGATTCACCTCATCTTTCATAGACCCATCCGCTGACACGTCCACTCCCAAATATCTGAATACGTTCACCTCCTCCATACTCTCTCCCTCCAATCTGATATTCAATCTTTCATCACCTAATCTTTTTGTTATCCTCATAACCTTACTGTAATTGTCTCTGAATTAGTTTTTCAAAAGATTTTAGCTAGCAATGGCAAGTTAGATATTGGCCTTTAGTTATTTATCTCAGTTGGGTCTCCATCTTTATGTATTGTGGTAACTATTGTTACCTTAAGTATTGTTATGAAAGTTTTGTATATTGTGGTAACTACTGTTACCTTAAGTATTGTTATGAAAGTTTTGTATATTGTGGTAACTATTGTTACCTTAAGTATTGTTATGAAAGTTTTGTATATTGTGGTAACTATTGTTACCTTAAGTATTGTTATGAAAGTTTTATGTATTGTGGTAACTATTGTTACCTTAAGTATTGTTATGAAGGTTTTATGTATTGTGGTAACTACTGTTACCTTAAGTATTGTTATGAAGGTTTTATGTATTGTGGTAACTACTGTTACCTTAAGTATTGTTATGAAAGTTTTATGTATTGTGGTAACTACTGTTACCTTAAGTATTGTTATGAAGGTTTTATGTATTGTGGTAACTACTGTTACCTTAAGTATTATTATGAAAGTTTGGGTTTCTCATTATATATTAAACAATGTTGGTGGGTGACACCACATGAACTGTTTTTCTGTACATTAGTGGTAGCAAATTAGCTTGGTTTTATTATCAAAGTGACCTCAGTAAAATTAGTTGGAGTCAGATACAGTCTGGGAAATTTCCAGCAAGGTCATCTCTTGTCTGAGCATTAGAAGTTGGGATTTTACTAGCCAGCTTTGACCCTAGAGTAGAAATCAATTAGCATATTGGCTGTTTCAACAGACTGGGTATGAAGTTCATCTGATTTAGTTAGCACAATACAGGTTGGCCATCACTAATCCGGCATCATTGGGACCTATAGTGTGCCGGATTAGTGAGTTTCTCAGATTACAGAGTGGTTAGGTTAGAATACACTTATATTTTGGTCTTTCTTTGATTAGTTTATCCTGCACCATGCAAACATTCATTTTTTCTTGTTCACTTATACTGTGTTGCTCTAGACCAGTGGTTCCCAAACTTTTTCAGCTTGTTACCCAATTTAACATGCCACATAAAGCATGTTACCCCTTTCACAAAATGTTGTTATTATTGATATATATGGCTAAACGTGAACGTATACAGCCTCGCATACTCTGCTAATCCTAGCAAAACCATTGAAAACGTAAGAACCACACATACATTATATATAAAATTAATAATAGCTACAAATTCACAGTAACAGTGGGTAAATACTAACTATATACTGCACAGGGCAGTACACATACTTACCAGCTTATGTCTACCTCGGCTGATGCTCACAGATAAACTGACAGTGTGAAATAGAGGCAGCCTCAGGAAGTGAGTGACGCGTACTGGACAGGTCGATCTGGGCTACTGAGTGACTTTTGTCCTGAAGCATACTTGTCAAAATACTTTTGGGTTTCCACACACTTAGCTATATATTTCTTCTTTTCTAATACTGTATATTAGTTTTTGATGTTTATTGTTATTTGGTTTAACTTTATTACTTACTTATAATAGGTTTACTTTACAACTTTATATACTAAGACAAAGTTAACAATAATCCTCATACCGGGTACCGCATTGTTTTCTTGATTTTCAGAATTCATAACCTTTTTTCTGTCACCCCTCCATTACCCCCCAAAAATGGTTAAATTACCCCCAGGGGGTAATTTACCCCCAGTTTGGGAACCACTGCTCTAGACCTTTTAGCAGTTCACCTGTCAACTGAATTAACCAATCAGTAGAGGCTCTGCTACATCTTGCTCATTTTCATCACTGCTTTCTCCTCCACTGGTTTGCTGCTGTGGATTTACAACCATCTGCACAATTTCTGAGTCAGTATAATGTTGAAATTTGAGTCAGCATAATAACGAAATTTGAAATTATGCTAGCTGAAATTAGTGCCAGATTACTGATGGAACTGGATAACTGATTGCTGGATTAGTGATGGCCGACCTGTATCTTGAATCTGAATGAATGACAAAATCAAAATGCCTCAGTGGGAAATATCCAGCATGTTAAAAATATTAATAATAATACTGCAATATGGGTCAGTGGATCAACAGCAGCAACAGCCTGGTTGACCAGGCTAGCACCAGACAAGCCTGGCCCATGGCTGGGCTCCAGGAGTAAAAAAATCTTGAAACTCATCAAAGCTACATCAAAGGCACTGATAATAATAATAATAATAATAATAATAATAATAATAATAATAATAATAATAATAATAATATACATAGGTATACATTACTAAATTTAAAGAGAAACTTTCGTTTTTCTTTTTTAGGTCACCATGCCTTGGTGGGATATGGCTGGTGTGTTGAAAAAAAAAATAATAATAATAACAATAATAATAACCTCTTTCTTGATGGTGCTAACATTAATTTTGGGTATGGCCGAAGAATAGAGAAGGAGCGCCAGATCAACGGCCACTCCCACCAGGATGCCATACTCCACCTTCCAGAAGAGGCAGGCCAAGAAGGTGACCCAGAGCGGCAGTTGGTCTAGGCGCCGGGCTCGCCAGATGGGCGCCACCATCTCGTACTCCACCATGAACAACACAGCGCACATGATTACTGCAGAGAGTGATGCCTTGGGTATGAACCTGCAAGACACAACAATAATGTGACACTAGTACGAGAAACTAAGAAATACAACAATAATGTGAGACTACTATGAGAAACTAAGAAATACAAGAAACTAAGTACATAATACAACAAGGATCTATGTAATACAAGGAACTAAGTAATACAATAATGAACTAATACAACAAGGAACTAACTAATACAATAAAGAACTAAAAATTAAGATTTAAGATTGTATATGTATTTCAGCATGATACAATGTTTGTATAGAGGTGAATAACATTTAGTGTGCATGCAGAAAGCCCCTTAACCTTGTCATTGTCCGTACTGTGGTTCTACGTCATCAGCTCAGCTCACACAGATAAGATGTGAGCGGTAAATTTGGGCCTAGATATGAGAGAATGCATCTGTGTGGTAAGTGTGCACCATATTAAAAATATCCTGCAGCACGCAGTGCATGAGAAAAGCAAACTGTGACCCCAATTTTGGTTTAAAATAGTGACTTTGTGGTGTGTCTTTATATAGTTTTTATGGTTGAATTCTCAGTTTTTGGTCATTTTATTGGGTAGTTGAATTATTATTATAATCAAAAAGAAGCACAAAGCCACAAGGGCTATACAGCTTGGGTAGTTGAAATAGTTGACTGGGTGGTTTCTTGCACTCAGTCGATAAAATGGAAGACACGTTACATGGAGTTTACCTGGAGAGGGTTTCGGGGGTCAATGCCCCCACAGCCCAGTCTGAGACCAGGCCTCATGGTGAATTCAGGGTCTGATCAACCAAGCTGTTACTGCTGGGCATACACAAACCGACGTATGAACCACAGCCCGGCTGGTCAGGTACTGACTTTAGGTGCCTGTCCAGTGCCTTCTTGAAGACAGTCAGGAGTCTATTGGTAATCCTCCCTTATGTGAGTTGGGAGGCAGTTGAACAGTCTTGGGCCCCCGACACTTATTGTGTTGTCTCTCAGTGTACTCGTGGTGCCCCTGCTTTTCAATGGGGGAATGTTGCATCTCCTGCCGAGCCTTTTACTTTTATAAGGAGTGATTTTTGTGTGCAAGTTTGGTACTAGTCTATCTAGGATTTTCCAAGTGTATATTATCATGTATCTCGCCTGCATTCCAGGGAATACAAATCAAGGGCTTTAACCATTCCCAGTAATTTAGGTGAATTATCGTACTTATGTGTGCTGTGAAAGTTCTTTGTACACTCTCCAGGTCTGCAATGTCCCCAGCCTTGAAGGGGGCAGTTAGTGTACAGCAGTATTCCAGCCTAGAGAGAACAAGCAGTTTGAAGAGAATCATCATGGGCTTGGCATCCCTAATTCTGAAGGTTCTCATTATCCATCCTATCACAATCCTAGCAGATGCGGTAGATACATTGTTATAGTCTTCGAAGGCAAGATCCTCTGACATTATCACTCCCAGGTCCTTCACATTACATTTTTGCTCTATTGTATGGCTAGAATTTGTTGTATATCCTGATACAGTTTTAATTTCCTCAAGTTTTCCATATCTGAGTACAGCAGACCGTCGTTTAACACGGTTTTGTGTGGCATGTGTTGGTTATAGCACTACAGTGGATCCTCGACTAACGATGGCATCGTATAACGTTAAATTCGACTAGCGATACATTTTAACGCAAAAATTTTGCCTCGACTAGCGCTAAAAAACTCGACCAACACGATTCGTTCCGTTCGAGACGCGTCCACGTGTGGCCTGAGCACGCCTCACTTGTCTCGTGAGTGCCAGTGTTTACAAGCCAGCCACCGCGGTTGCATCTAAACATACAATCGGAACATTTCATATTATCACAGCGTTTTTAGTGACTGCACCTACAAAATAAGTCACCATGGGCCCCAAGAAAGCTTCTAGTGCCAACCCTGTGATAAAAAGGGTGAGAATTAGTATGGAAATTAAGAAAGATTTTGAAGGGCTTGGGGCTAACCCTGAGACGCCTATGCCAGTTGTGGAATCCATTGTGCCTACTTCAAAGATTAAGGAATTGTGTGCAAAGTGGGTTGAACTGCAAATCTTTATGGATGAAAATCACCCTAACACAGCTATTGCAAGCTGTGCTGGTGACTTTACAATGACAATGTTATGGCCTATTTTAGACAAATCTTAAAGGAACGGGAGGTACAGAGCTCTATGGACAGATATGTTATGCGACAGAGGTCCAGTGGCTCTCAAGCTGGTCCTAGTGGCATTAAAAGAAGAAGGGAAGTAACCCCAGAAAAGGACTTGACACCTCAAGTCCTAATGGAAGGGGATTCCCCTTCTAAACACTAACACCATCCACACTCTCCCCTCCTCCCATCCCATCAATCATCACCAGATCTTCAATAAAGGTAAGCGTCATGTAATTGTACATGTCTTCTTCAGTTTGTGTGTATTAAAATTAACATTTCATGTGGTAAAATTTTTTTTTTTAATACTTTGGGGTGTCAGGAACGGATTAATTTGATTTCCATTATTTCTTGTGGGGAAAATTAACTCGACTAACGATAATTTCGACGAACGATGAGCTCTCAGGAACAGATTAATATCGTTGGTCGAGGGTCCACTGTATTGATGAATGGCTGCATATTTTTGTATAACACTTCGTAAAAAAATTTGGAGCGTGTGTCCACCCCAAGCACTCCCGACACCTCCATCCCAGCATTCGTTCAGAAGTGTCCAGTTCCAATGTGTTAGGAACTAGCTGTGTTTGTGAATAGTGTTTTGATATTTTAATTGCCATATCTTGCATCTGCCAAGCACTCATGGCACCCAGTAGGTATACTAGTGTTGCTGAAAGTGGCAAGGAAAGGTATAAGCATTTAAGTCTTAAGAATTAATGAAGAAAATAGAGATATTAGACAAGAGATAGCCTGAGGCCTTAATGAAACATTAGTTTGTACAATTAACCCTTTGACTGTTGCAACCCCAAATCCTGAGGTGTCTCCTGGTGTTGAAAAAAAAAAAAAAAAAAAAAAAAAAAAAAAAAAAAAAAAAAAAAAAAATCTTATGAAATGACAGAGAATCTTTTCCCGATGGTAATGACACCAAAAGAACGAAATTTGATAGAATAAAAAAGGAATTACGCTTTTGTGAAGTTAGCGACCTTGACGATATTTGTGAATAGGCGATTTCGCCCGCTTTGAGCCCTATTTTCAGCTAATTCCATTGTTCCAGTCGACCAAACTCATAGCTATTTCTTTAGGTCACCATTTGTTCTATTGACTGAGTACAAGAAACTGCCCATTTACCAATTTCAACTACCCAATAATGTGGTCAGAAATTTGCAATTTGGCCAATTTCATGCAAATTAAAAAATATGCCAATTTCAAAATAGGGTCCAGAATGAACAATGCAGACATTCCTGGCTCTAAAATAACATTTTCTTTGTTCATTAGTTATGTCTCCAGGCCCCTGTGATATTACTCTTGCTTTCTATTTTGAATTTTTATTCAAACAAAAAATAAAAGATTTAGTGTTATGCAGACTACTGCAATATTGTAATAATTGTATAAATAATGTTAACCCATTCATGACTGCATATTAGAATGGCTAGTTGGACATTTATTGCACAATGTCATCATTTGTTTACTTTTGAACATCGGCAAAAATCAAACATTTCCCCTACTTTGAGCTCCATTTCAAGGTTCTTTTCATAGCAAAACCAATCAAAATCACCTTTACTTCTATAATATGTTTTCCGCCCTATCAAATGAGACCAAGAAAATGAGAATACAACCATAAATACTATACGAAAATACACGCATAACGATAACTTGAACAACGCCTGTGTACAACACCGAAATTCCACCAATCATCTCATGAAGTTCAGGGACGCCCAACTAGTGATCAAAGAAACTAACTTCCGCAGACGCAAGTGCCTTGAATCTTCACTAATAGCTGTTTCTAATACTATTAAACAAAACAAAGGCAGCTTCACCATCTCTGAAGTCCTAGCAAGAATCCTCCTGAAAACAGTAAACCCTGCCATCACATAGTCTCTCCTCTTAATACTACACAAGCACCTTACAGAAAATGAACATTGAAACAGACCTCCTCTATCCAGCCACCGATAGATATATTTGTCTAACCTATTTTTATGTTTCCCAAGTAATAGCTTTTATATCCTTTTACTCATGTGCAAATTAATTGTTCTAACATATTATATTACTACTACTACTACTACTACTACTACTACTACTTATATCATTACTACTACTCCTACCACCACTAGTATTGCACCTCACTCTGAGACTATATATACCCTCTGTGTCCATACACTGTAATGGCTTGATAAAGCTCCTGGAGAGCAAAACGTTGCCACAATAAAATGTCACATTAGTTGCACTTGTGTCCTTTTACTTTACAAAGAGGGAGCGGTTGTGGCCGCCTCCACCTGTTACATTAAATTCCAATATTAACCTTGACCTAAAATGCTTTCTTGATAGTTGTGACAGAACCCACAGGCACAACACCAGACACAAACATCTCTATGACATTCCCCGTGTCCGACTAAACCTTTACAAAAATTCAATGTATGTCAAAGGCCCTAAAATCTGGAACACCCTACCTGAAAATTCCGAAACTGCAGACACATTCATCACCTTCAAAACTACCATCAGAAAACATCTTATCTCCCTGATACACCCTGTCAACTAATAATACGAATACCACCTGGTGGTTCACACTTACACTCACTCACCCATTTGACCATAAACAGAAATATCAATCTCAATTTCAAAATAATGAATCTTAACTAGTCAAAAGTTGGCCTGTGATACTCCAATACTGAAACTATGTATAGTGCCAAAACAAAAGCATTCACATTGCTAAACTCACAACTAGTATTTAGTCACTTAGCCATAATACCAACTTATCTCATAATTCTGTAACATTTTAAACCTAAGATTTAATATAAGTCTGCCCGAAATGCCTAGCCATGCTAGGTGTCCTAGTGGTACACTCTGTAATTATTATTTTACTACATGTAAACCACACAATAACCAAATTCTGTAAACTCA